ATGAACACATCACCAAATTATTATTCATTGTAATTTTACAATTGAAACTCATAAAAACAATCAAACAAAAGTTATTTGAATACAATCCAATATGATGAAATAAATATAACTAAAATAGTCAAGTTTTCACTTTTAGTACAAATGCAATCACTAATTCATTATTGTGTTTGTGCTTTTTTTTGAGAAAAAAGTGTTATTCTATTAAGTGTAATTAGAAATTTAGTATAAATGTATTAGTAAATTTAGTATAACTAATTAATAAATTTTATTAGTAGACATGTATAATTATTCATATAATTGATAATATCAATTATATTACATAAACTAATATACATTATATAATACATCTAACTAATAATATCATTATCATAAGTTTATAACTAATTAACTTACATATTATATATAATTATATATATATTTATTTTTTTTTGCGGTGGCGGGGGGGCGGGACGGGGGTATACTCCCCCGTCCCCCGCCCCGTTTCTAAGCGGGGGGAAAAAATTCCCTCCCGCCCCCGCCCCACCCCCCGCCCCGAGAGCCCCTCGCGGGCACCCGCCCCCATTGCCATCCCTACACGAGACTGTGGATAAATTGAACTTATAATTACCTACAGACATCTTCTAAAATACCTGTCATCATTCTAAAAGAACAAATTTTTGCAAAAATTTGAAAAGTTCACAAATAAATTGAAAATTCAAAAAAATGCAAAACAAAAAAAAAATCTAATAATCTGGGATTCGAAGTGGTGAATGTGTACCTGTAACTCACGAAAAGAGTTGTATCTTCATAAATTTACTTGCAACATCAAAATTATGCATATCTAATACATCAAACAGATATATGAAAAACTTGAAAGCTTTATACACCGCCAACAAAAATTTGACAAAGAAAAAAGTATGCCAAAGGAAGTTAAACATGTAAAAGTTTTGAGTGAATGTGAAATAAAAGAGACTGATACCAATAAAAGAGTTCTTAAGCTAACTTAGCAACGGTTTTGGTGGATAAATTGAAGATGGTGATACACTGAGTTATGACATAGAAAGGAAATTCACTGTCGAACTTAAACTTGAATTTGAGCTTAGCTAATTTTCTTTGAAGTCTAGCTCGAGTTACCCATAATTGGGTTCGAGTTAGCTCGGTAACCTCGCTACTCATGAGTAGATGTGCTAAAATGAGTGATTTGGGTGGTCATAATTAAGTAGTTGGTATAATTAAGTCAATTCATTTATACCCATTTAATAAATGAGTATAGATATACCCAATTATCTATTTATGAGTCACTTACAATTCTACTTTTTTTTGCATGCTATTTGATAAGAAATAACGGTATTTATTGTTATTAAATTGATTAGAAATTCAAATTTATTTGCTTAACACTAATTAAAAATTGAGTTTAAGTGTCTAATTATTTTTAAATGGATACAAATGGATGAATCGAGTCAACTCACTATTCACTAATTAAATGAATTTAATTGGGTACTCATTTAAATTTATTCAAAATTAGTGGGTGAGTTTGAGCCGATCATTGGTGGGCGGATTTGGACGAACCAATATAATTGGATTTTGATTGACATCTCTACTCATAAGACATTCTTTTTGCTTGTTTTGTTGAAGCCCCAAAACCACTTTATGTAACAACAAAGAAACGCAGTTAAGGTTGAAGATTTTCTATAATTACAAATGTGGAAAACCAAAGACCTCGAGTAGATGCACTTACAGTGAATTGAAAAGACCAATATTAAAAGCAAAAAGAAAAAGCCAAACACGGTTTAGTTCAAAGCCTATTTAATATTTAATAACTGCATAGACTGAAAGATTTTCATGCTTATATTCTCCTTCCTCTTATTTTCACTTTTTTTCACACTTTGCAATAGGTGCACCTTTGTAGTTTGAGCTTTAAGTATTTCAGATAGTATTATGATACAATCTTCAAAAGCCACCAGTCATGTTCTTTAGTCAAAGCTGAGAAACCAATTCAATCATGGATGAGCGTGGCCTGAACAATGCTTCCAAAGGCTTGGCCTTGTCCAAAGTTATACCAGATTTTTCTTCTAAATCCACCAATTGAGGCCCTACTCTTTCCCAATCAAAACATTGTAGCATTGTTCCCAACGTCAGGCTAATAAATCTCATGCCTAAGGCAGCACCTGGACAAGCCCTCCTACCTTTTCCAAATGGAATAAATTTGAACCCTTCATCGCAAGCCCCTTCATTAATTCCCTCAAACCTTTCTGGCTTAAACTTGGCTGGCTCTTCCCAAACCTTCGGATCTCTGTGAATAGCCCAAGCATTTACTAACAAAGTTGTGCCTTTAGGAACTTTGAAGCCTCCTATGGTGCAATCCTCAGATGAATAATGAGGCAAAAGAGTTGGTGCTGCAGGAAAAAGTCTAAGTGTTTCTTTGATTATGCAACGCAAATATGGCAATTTGGAGAGATCTGAATCCTCAATCAATTGCCCTGATTGTGTAACGTTGTTGTCTATTTCACTCCTTGCCTTCTTCAATACCTGGGGGTGGTTTAGCATAAGGGACATAGCCCACTCCATGGTCAGAGCTGAAGTGTGTACTCCAGCAGTGAACATAATCTAGAAGAACAACAAGGCATGTATTGTCAAAATGAATGTAAAGCCCAACATAAGAGATTACCAGCTAGAAGAGGAGTTCACTGACTAATTGGAGAAAAGGTTGATTTGCATTAAAAAAAAATGAAATATGAAAATAGAAACCGGATATAAAGAGCAATAATTACCAAAGCAAAAAATATTATGTTAAGGAGAAAAGAGAAATGGCAAGTTGGCTTACTAGTATGATCCCTTTGACAGTTTCATCAGTTAAGAATTCAGGTTCAGCATCTTGAAGGGACAGCAATGCTTGGATAACAGTTCTTCTCTGCTCAGTCGAGCATGAGCCACCTTCACCTTCCTTTTTCCTAGTTTGATCAATGAGATCCCTGAATAATTTGTCCCTCTTTTGCTGTAAATTGCTCAAATTTTTCTCCAACCCTCGAAATCCAATCCATCTCAAGACAGGGACATAATCACAAATACCCATGAAGGAGATCAGCGAAAACAAATCAGCTGTTTTATCAGATGGCCATTTTTTTCCTGCAAGCATTTTCATGATCACATTGAATACCAAATCCAAGAACACAGAGTTCATGTTTACATCTTTCCACACTTTGTCATCAGAGTTCATTGAGAACAATTTCCTGACACTGAAACGGATTTCCTCTGTCCAGATTGAGGAAAAGTTGTGGAGACTAGCGGAAGAAAAAATATGGATGGTGGTAACACGGCGGAGATTTCGCCAGTGGTCTCCATAAGGAGAGAATCCGATAGTACTGTTGTTGTAGCCAAGGATTTTGCCAGAAATGGACCCTGGTCGGTTAGCAAAGATAACATCATTAGTCTTAGTGAAGCATTCCTCTGCAAGAGATGGTGAGGAAACAACAAGTATAGGACGAATCCCAAATCGAAGGGAAATCAGGGGGCCGTATTTGATGGAGAGAAGTTGAAGAGCACGGTGAGGGGCAGCTTTCAGGAGGTGCAGATGGCCTAGAATTGGGAGAGCTGGTGGACTTGGAGGCTTTAGTGTTCTCTTGTTTTCTTGAAGATGTTTTATAGCAACTAAGACTACCAAGAAACTGAGAACTAGGATGCTATAGATGACTTCCATGATCATTAACAGGAAACAAGGGAGGTATTTTTTGCTTTTGAAGATGGATGCAGATTTACATCACTATCAAGTGTAAATGAATCATTATCCGCTGAAATGAATCCAAAAGGATAAGGTCACCGTACAGGCCAGTTTGTTGCCTTCCTTATTGATTTTTTTTTTTGCTTTGGCTTGGCTCTTTATGACTTTTTTGAGATTGGTGCTCAATAGCTTTGGTGAGAAAACATGAAGTCTTGACAAAATTGGCCCCTTTTCAATAATCTGTACATCATCTCAATTTTGTTGATTTTTTTTATCTAAATTAGTGAAACAATGATTTTTTTTTTTTGAATAAACAGGTACATCTTTTTTTTCGAAAACGATAATTCTGATACATCAGTAATTCTTTTCTAGACTTAGTGTGGGTAACGTGTTGTTCTCAAATATGAATATTACTAACTTAATTCTTTTTAAGACTAAGAGAAAACGGTTCTTTTAATTTAACTTATTTTAAAGTATATTGAATTGAATGATAATTGTTAAAGAAATTTAGTGTAACTTAACCAAACAGGAATATACATGAATTCAAAGTTAGATGAAAATATTTTGAGAAATATGTTGAAACTATGTTGCAGCGAGATAATAGTGTAAACCAATGTCTCGACGGATTAAAACAAAAAGAGTTATCATTTTTTGTGAGACTTAAAACTTTTCATGATTACCCAAAACAAAAATGGCAAAAACACCAAACTTGTTATGAAACAAATACAAATAGATGTGGATGTCCATTCAATTCCCCTAGAGGATTAATACATGTATTTTCCCCCTAGATTAATGTGATACACTTATCTTCTCATGAAACAACTCAATTTTATCATCTTGATGTACTATTCCATGTATAAGTATTAAAGTTAGTTAATGTATTATTCATTCTGCTTTCCGTAAAAATAGATGTTATTCCAACCTCATTTGCAATCTTGTGAACTCCAAACAAACTAGTGAATAAAAGTATAAATTTCTCTCTACTTTCACTACCAACAAATATATACTTTTTTTTTTAATTGAAATTTTATTATTTTATAAAAATTTCGGCAGAGTTTCCCCTTAAAAAAGGACGAAACTCCCTGCCATCAAACCACAATTTGACAATAAATTTACAAGCTAGTGAAAGTTTAAGCATTTAAAAACTGAAATTAAGATTAAATCTTCATTTTTCCATATCAGGATGTCTTCCAGTGAATCTGAAGGATGATCTTTGAAGATTTTAGCAGTCAATCTTCCTCCCTTGATGTCCTTCTAACCGCCATTTTCACCTTCATTGGCCTTTTCTGCTTCTTATTCCAATTCATGCCAGACACCGTGTACGAAACGTAGGAAATCCTAATCGATCTAATCTAATAGCCCCCCTAACCAATTGCGGCAATTCTGAGAATGTATTAAACACATGACCTGTACTAGAATCAGCACCAAAATTTGCCAAACGATCTGCAGGTGCGTTTGCTTCCCTGTAGCAGTGTGTGATCGATGTGAAATATTGCTTGAACATCATCAACTCATCCAGATCTCTCTGTAAACGCCAAGGACAAGCACTAGTCCCTTGAACAATGTGAACCAGGGTGAGAGAATCCGCCTCTAAGTGTAACTCCAAGCACCCTCGAATCACACAATGTCTAACGCCCCATAGCAACGCTCGAAGTTCCGCCTGCATGCTGGTTATCACCCCGAAGGGCTCCGCGTAGCCGAATACAAAATTTCCTCGACTATCCCGCACAAGCCCACCCCCCCCACTCCTTCCTGGGTTCCCCCGAGAACATCCATCTGAATTCAACTTATAGCCTCTACGTGGAGTTACCCAGTAAACTGGCCTAATAACCATCCGCCTTTGATGACTACCTAATTCGAGAAGCAACCCTTCCCATGTAGGGGCAGAAGGCTGCACCCCCGGGAACCGTGACTGAAGGAAATCATGCAGAAACTGAACAATCCGATTCACCGTAGGCCTGATCCTCATCTTCCGACCTTCAAACACCCCTTCATTCCTAGCCTTCCATAAAACCCAGCATACCACCGAAGGAAGTATATTATGCAAAAACTTTACACGATCATTAGTCCCCCTCCTTAACCAACAAGACCACACCATATGACGCACCGTATGCACCCCACTAAACTCACCAGCAGTACTCTCGAAGTGTCGCCAGACCAATCGTGCCCCTTCTCCTGAGCAAAACACATGATTCAAATCCTCCTCCTGGGGATTCTGACAACACAAGCATCTAGATGGGCCACAAACCCCAAACCTCTTTAGGCGATCCATAAGAGGGAGCCTCCCCTGTAGTAGTCGCAGCATAAAGAAAGAAACCTTGACTGGAAGACCCTGCTGCCATATACGACCAAAAAGCCAAGAATTGTCATTGGATTGACGGATCAATGAGTAAGCCGATGCAGTGGAAAAAACACCCGAGTTCGTCAATGCCCATACCATTGTATCATTTCCCCTATCGGTAGGAGGGTCAATCTCCAAAACCTGCGTAACCAATTCTCCATCCAAGAATTGATGGAGCATGTCCACATTCCAAGCCCGCCGATCTACAAAATCAACCACCGAATGATCATGGAAGACCTCAACCTTGTCACAAAGCGCACCTGACCCCATCCAATTATCATGCCAAAAGTCCAAAGCCCCCTCCCGAACTACCCAGCTAATATTATCCTCCCCAAAACGCTGCATTGTGACCATCCTCTGCCAAACTTGGGATCCCGGATGCCCAATATCAGCAAGACAAGGGTGATGACCTGCACAATACTTCTGGGACATAAACTTTGCCCATAATGATTGTTGTTGTCGAAATTTCCACCAGAGTTTAATGGAAAATGAGTCGTAGACCTGTTTCAAACCCCGCAGGCCTACACCCCCTTCATCCTTCGGCCGACACAAATCTGCCCAACGTATCCAATGGAATTTATCCCCGAAATTCGAAGATCCCCACAAGAACTTGGCGAACAATTTCTCTATGACCATCAACATCCCTTTTGGAGGGGACGCGGCTGCCAGCAAGTGAATTGGCATAGAGGATAACACGCTCTGAATCAACACCACCCTGCCTCCTAGCGATAAAATCTGGTTTTTCCAACTCAAAATCCGATTCGCCACCGCATTGTATATATCCGTATAGTAAACCTTCTTGCTCCTTCCGGTATACAAGGGACAACCAAGGTACCGTATTGGAAAGTCGCGTTTATTATACCCTAGTATCTGGTTAACAACCGCTGCCCTCTGAGATGGTGCCCGTGGATGAGTAAGGAAACAACTCTTCTGAGGGTTGATTCGCTGACCTGATGCCTCATTATAATCATCCAAAACCCGTGTAATCAGACGTAGGGATGACTTGGCCCCACTGGAAAAGATAATCACGTCATCGGCGAATGCCAAATGCGTAATTATAGAACAATGAGGAGGAACTTTGAACGGAGTAAATCCTCTTTGTGTGGGTAGCGTGTTGAGGGTTCTAGACAGCACCTCAGCTCCGATAACGAATAAGGCTGGTGAAATTGGATCCCCTTGCCGTAAACCCCGTGAAGATCTGAAAAAGCCGTTTGAACCACCATTAACAAGTACCGAGAACCACACATTCGATATTAATCGCCAAATCATGTCTATCCAGGTCTCACTGAATCCGAAATATCGTAGCACCTGTAGGAGAAAGGGCCATGAGACTTTATCATAAGCCTTCATCATGTCTAACTTGATGACCACATTGCCACCCCGATTTGATTTCCCGATATCGGCTACTAACTCCTGAGCTAACAAGAAATTATCTGTAATCTGCCTCCCTTGGACAAACCCGCTTTGCTGTGGAGATATAATCCGGGGTAATATCATCGCCAACCTTGCCGATAACAGCTTGGAGATGATTTTGTTAGTAAAGTTGCACAGACTGATTGGACGAAAATGCTTAAAATCTTGGGGGTTCTCCACTTTTGGCAGCAACACAATTGAGGTAGCCGTGATACTCCTAGGTAGTTCAGCACCGCAGAAAAAGCTGACAACCGCCCGGTATAAATCCGATGCCACTACCTCCCAAGCAAAGGTAAAGAATTTCCCTGTAAACCCGTCCGGGCCGGCTGCGCTCTCTCCATCCATAGCAAAGACTATGTCTTTAACTTCTGTAAGAGATGGAATGTCCGTTAACCGTGAGTTTTCCTGGTCTGTTATCAGTTTAGGTATGATCTCCAGACCGGTAAGGGAGGGAAGATCCCCCTCTGCCGTGAAAAGTTCCTTAAAGAAACCCACCGCTGCCTCCCCAATTTGGCATTCCCCCTCGATCCATTCTCCAGCAGTACCCCTGACTCGATGAATTACTGCCCTACGTCTCCTTTCCGAAACCAAGGAGTGGAAATATTTGGTGTTCCTATCTCCGTCCGAAAGCCACTTAACCCGCGCCTTTTGTCTCCAAAAACCCTCCTCAACTACAAGCGCTCGGCGCAATCGAGCCCGAGCATGATGTAACTCGCTCCGTCGCTGCTCAGTAGGATCGAGGTCGTATGCTGTCTCAGACTCGGTTACCACACGCTCTGCACTACGTACCCCTTCAAAAATATCCCCGAATGTCGTCCTAGACCACTGCTTGAGGGCATTTTTAACATTCCTCAACTTCGATGCCAATACTTGCAAAGGAGAGCCATTGACTGGATGAACCCAACAGTCCTTGATAACCCCCAGAAAATCAGGATGAGTGGTCCAGATGTTTAAGAAACGAAACGGCTTGGGTTTATTGTCTAGCCTCGTATCCACCGATAGCAACAAGGGAGCATGATCCGACGGGTCACGGCCTAAATGTTGCACCATGAATTGGTACGGTAGCTCCATTGCACTCCCACACAGAAGTAAGCGATCCAGACGCTTCCAGATCCGCGCCGTTCCCGAACGATTATTACACCATGTAAACCTTGACCCAGAGAATCCCGCATCACTGACACCAGCTAGCGCCATAAAATTCAGAAAGTCTGATCCCTCCGACGGTCTAAATGGCAATCCACCCCTCTTCTCCTCTGTATTTGTGACCACATTGAAATCCCCCACCAAAAACCAAGGATTGAAGGCGGGTTTATCCTGCAAAAGTGCATTCCACAAATCCTCTCTGTCCTGCTGCGTACACTTCGCGTGTATACAAGACAAAATAATGGAGTCTTGGAAAAGATGAGATTGTACTCTAATAGTTATATGTTGGGGAGACTCCCCTGTAATCTGACACGTAAACAATGACCGGTAGAAAATCCAAACAGAACCCCAATGATTGAACATGCAACAATCCATCCCCAATTTAATTCTAATATCAGTAATTGACTCCACCCTCAACTTAGGTTCAACAACAACCACCAATTGAAGATCATACAATTTAATAAGTTTCCTTAACCGCCTTAAATTAGGAGCACGAGCTACCCCTCTTATATTCCAAAAAAGTAACTTAATCATCAGAAAGGACAGAAAAAGAATTTGTTGAAGAACTAACCATGGAGCGTAGTGTTCTATCTGACGGGAGACCAACCCGGAGACCACGCGACCTTGCATCCATTCGCTCCTTACGAACAACTTCTTCTAGTTCCAGGGTACCCCCCGTGTCTATATGCCCGGTCTCTAGTGATGACTCTTCTTGTCGGATAAGATCCTTGCCCCTAGGGGAGAGGGTACCGTCCCTTCGTTGAGTATCTTGTATGTCTTCAACTTGCCCCTCAGCAGAACGTACGACCACCCTCGCGGGCAACCCACTCCCCACATCCTCAGAACGTTCCTCTCCTTTGTCATGTGGCAGCACCACCTCGATACCTTCTACCGCCACCGTCCCATAATTCTCCTCCATTTTCCTCTCCTGCTGCGCTGGTATAGTAGCACAGGACTGCTGCACCTGGTCACCTTGCTCAGCTTCGTGAGGCGTACCACCTATTAACTGATCGTGAGCAACTAGCGCTTTGCCAGTCACAGTCTCATTAACTTCTCCCTTTGCCCCATCAATTACTGCCGCATCTTGTATCAATACCGATGGCCTTTCTCCATTACCCTCCAAAGGGCCATCAGGCATGTCTGTATTCGACGTCTCTGCCAACCGTAGTTGTGTTGTTCCAGTAGTCTTGGTATGGTGACCAGATGCTCCTCGCAACTCGGGCTTTAAAACATGACAAGTCTCCACATCGTGACCTTGGCGGAAACAATGTGAGCAGTACCTTGGAAGGTTCTCCACCACCAGCTCTTGCCAAAAACCAGCGTGATTTCCATTGCCAATCCAAACCCGCGACGGTGTCGAACGCAACAAATCCATCTCAACACACACCCGTGCAACACTTGGCCGTGACACTGCAAGGGTAGCCGCATCAACTAGCAAAGGGTTACCTACCATAGACGCAATCTGGAAAATCACCTCCTTATTGAAAAAGTGCAGCGGGAGTTTTGGTAATTGAAGCCAGAGCGGAACCACCGACGACTCCCTGTCAACATGGAAGTCCGTGGTCCATTTGAATACTCTCATGGGGAAGGAAGACACATACCAGATCCTCCTAAACCATACACGATGGAAATCAGTTTCATTGTTCAACTGAATTAACACATGTCTTACGTCCAACAAGCCCACCACCGGGTTCTCACGTAAATCCAGCGATGCAATGAACTTCCTCACCTCCTCCAACTTCGGTCTACGTCTAGAGAATTTCCCAATCAATGCGAAACGAAATGGACTGGCTAGAGCTTCGACCGCTGCCTGTGGGAAAATCAACGCAGGTTCCCCTTTGTGTGTAGCCTCCTGTGCCGCAAAGGATAGCGTCGGCTGCTGTGAATTCTTCGTGAACAACTCTGAAAAGGATTTGCGTTGAAAGGTAGGAGGGGCAGGCTGCCCTCCATCAGGTGGGCAGATGGCAGCCATGGACTGCCGCACCACTACCCAAGCCGCGCCTTGGAAACCTTAGCACCAAATCCTTAAAGAATGTAGAACTTTTTTCTATTGAACCGGAATGGATACCAACAAATATATACGTATTAGTATCAGTTATACAATAAAACTACGTATGCTGGTGCACGAGATAGTTCCTACTCTTTTTGGGCCACGTTTATATTTATCCTGGCAAACAACATCGATTTAAGTGTATAATAAAAGGAAAATAGGAATGCGAAAAACCATTGTAATTTTGAAAGCCACAAAAAACTCTTTAACTGTAATTTTTCTCAATCGTCATCCTATATCGTTAACCCTATAGCTTAGATATTTGACTTGTGATTTTTATACACTTTCACGAATATTTAAAATCCCGAACAATACATGTAACGACCAAGGGACCTTTATATATGTTTATAACTTTCAATGACTGAGGGAGTTTTGTGTTTGTTTATAATTTTAGAAGTTACGGTGTCTTTCGTGCTGCTGAAAATAACATCACTCAAATTTGGCCCATTCAAGTGAAGGAGTCTAGATCCCTACTACCGTAGTTATTTTTTCATGTTCCCACCAGCCAATTTAAATTTTGGGATAATTGGGAGAAAGGGAATAGAAAGATTTAAAATTTAAAAGAAGGTGTAAGTTTTGGAAAATTTATGAATGACGTTTGAGTTTTTTTTTCTTTTTTTTTAATATAGGCGGGATGTCTCGATTCCAGGACATTTCACTTACATTCCCTTCCTTCTAACATCCAATCCATCCCTACCCCTTGCATGAGGTGCGAGTTAATGGTCATGAACTATTAAAAGAAATATTGTAAGTATAATAAGAAAATTACCCTTATGTGCACATATTGCGACTTGTATGTGTGTAATTTGATTATACCTATACACAGCTGTATCAATTTAGATGTGCATATTTGGATTTATGTACATTTTACCAAACTACATATTTTTATCATTTAGGTGCATATTATTGTTCGATAAGATGCACATTTCAAAAAAGAATTTTTTTGCTCTTGACAAAGTGTACATTGTTACAAGTGTGATTTAATTACTTAGCCAAAAATCTGTTCGTTTGGTGAATAGTAGTAACCCATACCCCATCCACAAACTTAATAAAAGTTTCGCCCTACTTATGAAATTGGGATAATTTCAATGACAATTTTACTGCCCTCCCCCAAGATTCTTAAAATATCACTTACCCTCCCCCGGTCAACCAATTGGAATTCAATGCTTACCACATCAATGGTCAAATGACTTTATTACCCTGCAACTTGGGAAATTTTACATAGTTGTATGGAGAGATAGTTGAGCCACTTGTACTCCCATAATTTGGAATGTAAAAAAGCTTGAAAATCTTGAATACCAAATTTTATAACAATAATTGTTAACATTTTAAATTCTTTTTCTAATTTTAGTAGTTCTTGTAATTTCTTCCCCCAAAAAAGATTAAAATTTATATTGAGAGATTATTATTTCATAAGTTTTTTTTATAAAAATAACAAGATGAATACAAAAATGCACAAAAAGGATAAATTGTTAAAATATGTTTACAAATAAATTTTATTAAGTTTAGATAAAGTGTAACTGCACATAATCTATTCTCTCCCTATTTTCAATTTTTTTTCTTTTTCTTTGTATACATAATTCCAAAAAGATTGTTTAAAATGATTTTCTCCACTTTGATTTACTTATTTTCCATTAAAGTCATTTCCATTCTATTCATGCAAACATTGCCTGAGAGTTGTTTTTTTTGTTACAAATGATAGAAATTTCTTAGTAATCATGTGAAATAATGGACCTTGTAAGTAAAAGAAATAATTCAAAACAATATTTGATCATATTTTATATTTTTTATTTAATGTGGCATTTTTCTTGAAAAGGTCATACTTAGTCTTATTTAATTCTTACTCAAAATCTTCCAAATTTCACCACTAAGAATTGAGGAATTCAATGTGTAAATATTGATTCTAAATTAATAAAATTTCCTTCCAATTCTTTGATTTTGCGAGCCATTGTTATTGAATTCTAGTGGGCTCATGCTAGTATTGTAATTTGCCTTACTTACACTGACACATTCTAACTATGGTTTTTATTTTCTATTCTTAACTAATAATCCCTTTTGATTCTAAGTCAACCAACTAGTAATTAGTTGAGGGGCACTTTTGTATGAAATATTTTTCTCACTCTTGAAATCATTTTTTTATTATTAATTTTTTTGAATTGCGCTAATTTGTTACAAGAAAATTTAGTTTTAAGGGAGGTTAGTGATATATTTAAAACTTTAGGGGAAGACAGTGAAACTATCAGAAACCTTAGGGGAGGTTTCTAAAATTATCCCTATGAAATTTGAATGTTCCTATATTCTCATTTTCCAAAATTTCAACTTACATTTTAGCCAACCTCCTACCCCACCAAAGTTGGATTTTATCAAAAGGAGGCCAGGACACATCGTCCTCTGCTGCATTATCATGCTTTTTATGTCTTGGTTAGAAAACTCTGAGCTTTGCTTACCCAATAAATGGCTCTAACTGATTCCAGCTAGCCTTACCAACTAATTGAGTTAAATTTCAGCTCAAAACCAAGATCCTATCAAGCAGGAGCCTAGCACGAGCTCATTTTGGATGAATTTTGCACTGAGAAAATACAGAGGTCCCTTACACAGCATTTCTTTCGCATTGTCCCCTGAGCTCTGTAATCAAAATCAATCTAATTGCAGACACAGTTTGACAAGAGTAAACGCGGTACTTGTGCACTATTGAGAGTCGTCACAGCAAGAATATATACATACAAAATAGAATTGTCAATAGGGTTGAGCTTGCTATACTAATTATGTACATATGAATGTACTATGCAGCGAAAATCTAAATAGACTTACCTCTAACCATCATTATTAAGTACAAATTGGTCTCTCCTCATCTCTTTGACTCTTTCTTGTCTATTCCAATATATATATATATATATATATATAGAAGAAAAAGTTAGAGTAAGGAGTTTCTAGTCTATACCTAATCAGAGAGTGTAGTGTTGATGGGATACCATAGGCTATTTATAGGTTAGGCCAGGAACCCTTACTAGCAATTATCAAAATCTCTAGGGTTTCCTTCCATCAAAAAAATCTTGTCATAATCCATAATCTTTTCTGACTAATTGATTGATTTGGTTGGTTAATTGATTGAATCATATATCAATTAGCAAAAGATATCAATCAATCATTAACAAATGGAAAATACTAATTAATTATTGAAAATATCAATCAATTAATTAGGATATCAATTAATTTAGAATCAATCATATGGGTCACAATTGCCTCTAAAAGAGGCAAGTTTTACTTTCTTCCACTTGACCCACATGAAATAGTCAGTTAACATATGAGTGATTAGATACTTAAA